TTTCGGTATGTTAAAGGTAGGGTGGGCAATTTTAAGAGATAACTCGTATTATCCTATTAAACAAAACGTTAGGATTATCATGGCATGTTGTCTCCTCTACAATTTTATAATGCAAGAAATGCCAGTAAATCCACTTGACAATGAAGGAGAAGTGGATGAGGGAACCAGAGACCATGGAGTCGAAGACGGAGATAATATAAATGTTGTTGGTACTTCAAATGAGTGGACTGCATTTAGGGATAATTTAGCACAATCTATGTTTGCTTCTTGGAATGCTACCAATTAATATGTATGATTCAAATGTTTGTTTAATTGATACTTCTAATGTTTGTGTAACTCATACTTCTAATGTTTGTTTAAATCTAATGTTTGTTATTAATAGAAATTATGGAGTTTGGACATAGATAATTAGATGTTGTTATACTTCAAATGATTCATTTATGTTTATAGGTATGACGAGTCAAATAAGAAATTATCGAGTTTAGACGAATATTGAAGAAACAAAACTTGTTGAAGCTTTGGTTACGATGGTGAATACGGGAGCATATAAAGCCGATAATGGCTTTAAATCGGGTTATTTAACATTTCTTGAACAAACGTTAAAAGAATCTTTGTCGGGCTCCGGGATTTTAGGGAAACCACATATTGAATCAAAGTTAAAAATAATGAAGAAAGATTGGACTGTTGTGCATGACATAATAAGTGGTTCATATACCGGCGGCTTCGGATACGATAGTGTGAAGCATTGTGTCATTGCGGAAGACCAAGTTTGGGAGTCGTATCTTCAGGTACATGCTAAAAAGAACTTGTTATTTATATTTGCGTAATATATAATCATAGTTATATGTATATTTATGTTATTCTATTATGAAATAGGTCCATAAAGGGGCGGAAAATGGAAGAACAAACTGTATCCTTTTTATGAGGATCTTTGTATTGTATTTGGAAAATATCGTGCTCAAGGAAATAGAGCAAGAGATTTTGTTGAGGTGGAAGAGGAGGTGCGTATAGAAGATCAAACACAACACATGAATGACGAGTCCGATGACATTGATGGCAAATAACAATGTTCAAGGTGGGAATGCAAATATGCAATCTGAAGAAACTTCAAGTGCGCATGGTAAGAAGAGAAAACGTCGAGTAGATCCCATGGCTGACGGATTTAGTAATGCAGTTACTAAACTTGGAGCAACTTTGGAGAAAATGGCGAACAAACTTAACAAGGGTATTGAACGAGAAGAACTTGATAAGAAACGTTCGATGATCATTTCTGAGATATCAAAAATGCAGTCATTGGCCCAACTGGAGAAGTTTAAAGTAATTTCATTGATAAGAGATGATCCTAAAAAGGTGAACATGTTTTGGGACTTGTAAGAAGCAGATAGGGAAGCTTACGTGAATTGGGTTTTGAATGAATGAAAATTTTGGTGGGTAAATGTGTGGTTTTTGAAGAACAATTGGTAGTTAAATTTGTATTTTGGATTAACAAGTTTGGTCGTTAAATATGTATTTTGGATTAACATGTTTGTTGATTAAATATGCATTTTGGATGAAAAAGTTTGATTGTTAAATATGTATTTTGGATTAATAGGTTTGTTAGTTAAATAGGTAGTTTGAGAAAATGAAAGAGATTAGGTGACTAAAATAATTACAAAAGAAAAAAAAATCTCAATCCAAATCCTACAAACCAAACATGATTTATAAAGGAATGGATTTCAAATCCAATCCAAATCCTGCAAACCAAACACATAAATGGATTTTAAATCCAATCCAAATCCAAATCCAAATCCCTCGTAAATATTTCTGCAAACCAAATGCACCCTTAGTGTTTTTACCTTTATTTTCTGTTTTGTACCATCTGTCAAATTTAAGCTATTTCAGGCAAATTTGTATTAATGATTTATGGTATATTACATCAGTTTTGCTACCATTGAAAGGGTTGGAGTTAAAGTAAGAAAACAACCAATATTTTGGGGTTGGGTTGGGTTTCAATATCTGTTGAGTTAATTACCAGGGAGCTTATTCCTTTATACTTATCTTTACAATATTATAAAAGCCACTTTTGGTTATTCTTGAATTTTAGGAGGAAAAAGTTTTAATGCTAAATGTACAAGCTTGTATTAACCTCCATGCTCCCTTGCCATCTTTAATCACACCTTTAAAATCTCTCTGATATGGGGATGAACAACCTTCCCCACTTGTTGCGATGGTTGATTTGCATGTTCAAACTGCTCAAATTCGCTGCTAACCCAATAATTCCCTCTTTTTATCCAACAATTCCCCTTCCCAAATCTCATGAGGTTCTTTTTTCATTTCCAGTATTTTATATTTGTATTATTACTATATGATTCATATATGCTTTCAATCTATAATATTATGGCTCATTTACGGAATACTTATCGGGTAAGCACTTACCGTATGTCACTTACCTTCTGCATGAGCATTTTAAGGACCTAGAATCTTATCCGGTGAGAGGCATATTAAGGACCAAGAATCTTACCCTGTAAGCACTTGCCAACAATCCGTTTTGATGGCTGAAAAGATTAGACAATAAGGTAAGTGATGGTGATGATCTTTCTTTCTTTCTTTCTGGTAAGGTAAATGGCCATTTTGGGTATTAACATATTGAATATGTTATGGCAAAATACAAAAAAGTTACACCGTTGATGAAGCAAATTTATATTTACTTGTACTTTCAATGGTTCTCATTATTTGGCTTCCGTTTTGTGTGCAGATTTTGAAATCTTGGCTTTTCCTACCAACCATTTTCTTTGACAAGAGCTATAAACAAATGGAGAAATTAAAGAAAAAATATGCAAAAATGTCAAAGCCAAGTTCCTGATATTTGACAAGACGATCTTTCATGGCTTGATTTTCTTTCAAAGTCCTTATTGTTAGTGTAATATTTTTGGAATTTAAACTGTAAGTAGCAAATTAGGAATGCATGAGTCGTTTTCTTTTCTTTAGATATAGTTTTTATAATCAAATGAAGACTGCTTTTGTGAGTAATCTATTCTATGCTCCTTTATAGTGCATCATTACTAAAGAGCTGAGAATTGTTATGAAATCTCTAGGACAAAACCCGACAGAAGATGAACTATAGGACCTGAGCAATGAGGTTAATGACGATGGTAATAGGACTATGGATTTCCGTGAGTTCTTGAACCATATGGAGATGGCAATAGGATTATTGATTTCCCTGAGTTCTTGAACTAGATGGCTCGAAAGATGAAAGACAACCGACTCTAGAGATAAGCTTAATTAAGGAGGCTTTCCATGTGTTTCAAAAGGATCAAAATGGCTTTATTTCTACAGTCGCGTGTCGCCATGTTACGACAAATATTGGTGAGAAGTTGACAAAAATGACCAAGTTATGGTAAGATGATTTGTGAGGCTGATGTGCCAAATCAACTATGAGGAATTCGTGAAAGTCGATCATGATGGCCAAATGACTGAATGAGAGCCTCCAACACCAAATCCATCTTTAAGAAAGGGGTAAAAACAAAAATCCTATTTCAATAGAAAACCATAAGAAAAAGGGTTGCTATCTCATAGGTATGATTTAACAATGTAAATTAAGTACTTGATTTCTGACGATATCTTAAATAGTGTAACAAAATCATGGTACGGTTGCTCTTGTATTTGTTTAATCCCACATTGATGACAACAATGTAGAAATTTTTACATTCCATGCATTATGCAAGTACATATACCAAGAGTTATCTTAATGTTAGAGAGTTCGGATAATATTGGGAGTTTGGATAATCTTGGGAGTTTCCAAGATATTGCAATTTTGAAAAATATTCGGGAAAGGATGGATCCATAATAGAAAATACAAAATCAAAAATATTAGAAAGAAAAGAGTTAATGACCATGTATTTGATTCTATTTATAATGAAAAATAATTTACGAATTGGTTTTCTTTATTATTTATAAGTAAACGAAGATTATTTAAAAGAAATGTAAATCAACCAATAAGTTATTAATGAATGTAATAAGTTTAACCCACCCAAAAGATCTGGCTTCCCACTCACTTGGATCCCCTATTTTTTGTTATTTCTTTCTTTGTTTCATTTTGACCATTTAGAGTTTTTAAAGGGTTAAAGGTGCACATGTATTATTGAAATCAATCAAAAAATTCTCTCGAAAAAAATCAAAAAAGTCTCTTGCAATCAACCAAAAAACTTAAGAAAAAACCCCAAAGACAGAATTCGGCTAAAAACACATCAAGCGGCTTTACAGCCTTACAGGCATTTAAAGGTGCATCCGCTCGGTAAAAATCTTGGGTCTGCCACTGTAAAACCTTCAAACGTTGCTAAATATATTCAGCGACATCATATCATTTGCTTTTTATCCCTTTTGAATAATTAAGATGGACTAAACTATATGTTTTATTTAGTAAAAACGTATTTGCACTATGCAGTTTTTCTTACATTTATTTAAATTTTACACCCTATTGTTACATGGGTACCCAACTAGATGTTCAGAAATGCTTGACAATTCATATATATAGTTCATCTTTTTAGTCATTTGATCCTTCCCATCCGTTCTCATATCTTATAAATAAACCCACCTATGTGTTTCATTTGGTAAAAATCATATAACTTCGTTATTTTCTCTTTTAATTATACCAGTTAGCTCCGCTGCATTGCGGTTGATACACTAACTACTATAATTAAAAGAGACATGTTTATCCTTAAAAAATAAAAAGAGAGATGTTTCAGTAGCGTGTAAGCATTTAAGTTGCGGTTATCTAAAGATAGGGACTGAAAATGAAGTTGCCATGCTAACATGTTACACTTTTAACTTTTCCACTGAACTAACGGAGATGCATTCAGTTGATCGAATTGACCATAAATTCCCTCTTTCCTTCATTTATTGCATCCTCGACTTCCCCACTCCACCTGCAACCATCAATAAATTCCATATTTGATCTATCAACACATAAAGCAGACATCTTGATTACCCAATTAGGCAATTACCACCGGTATATGAGTCCAACATAACACCCACAGATCACTACTCCCTTCTATTCTGCAAATGGAACCACCAAAATATTCTGCGCCGTTTTTACTCTTCACGTCTGCGATTTTAGTTTTCGGTCTCTCTTCTTCGTTGCACAAGGCTCTTGAGAACTCTACAGCAGAGTTCGGTAACCACACAGGAATATCAGACTTTCGATTACTGAATAGAAGAAGTCTCATCACTTGTCCAAACTCTGGTCCTTATGTCCGTGTCAAAGTTAGCCCGATATCCCAACTTTCGGATGAGCAATATGTCACTGTTTCCATTACCGGTGTTTTCAATCCTTCTGGAAGTGATTGGGTTGCCATGATCTCACCTTCACATTCTGAGTAAGTTGAAATAGTGTACCAGTTTTTGGATACAAGAATTTTGTTCAGTTCTATGCATGGTGTTTTGCTATTTTAATTTTTGTTTTTGTATATATTTGCATGTGAAGTGTCTCAGTTTGTGCTCGAAACGCCATTCTTTATTTGCAGACAGGTGATTTAAGTTTACTGCCACTGCTATGCCATTATCCTGTCAAGGTATGACTGCATTTAAAAACGTGTCAGCAGCTGTTAATATGTCATCAGCTCTGCAGAATATTTACACTATTAAAAGAATCAACTATTTTAGATAAATTTATGAAGATATAAATGCAAATACAGTCATAAATTTAACATTTCTTTTTGTTCAAAATCACTTGGGATCGAATCAGACATATTACCCCTAGCTGGTTCTCTCTTACCAACCTAAATTCGGATGGCAAAGGGGGCTTCTTGAGTTTCAATTCATAGAAGTTATGGCATGCATCGTCATATTCTGAAGTTAAATTTGCAGCCTTATCCAGCCTCATCATACCAAATGCAGGCACAGTATGTAAGCAACGATTTGGATTATATAAGCTGCAAGAAGAAAGAATGCATGGTATATCACAGAGGAAGATGTCTAGTGGCAACATGTGGTGCCACATTGACGTTTCATGTTATCAATATTAGAACTGATATTGAATTTGTGTTGTTTCGTGGGGGGTTTTTGACCCCTTGCATCGTTACGAGATCTAGGCTGATCAACTTCAAAAATCCCAAACAACCTTTATACGGGCATCTCTCGAGCGTTGATTCCACTGGGACAACGGTATGTAACCATTTCCATTGTGCTACATTGTAGGGAAAAGAGCAACTACCTCCATTCATGAAATATCGAAAACAATTTTTGCTATCATATACGATACTACTCCCTTTTTTATTATATATGCTGACATTTTTCCAAGTGTGATTAATCCCTTGTTTAAATGATAACGATGTTAATAAGAAAATACTCCATGGATCATGTGGCCTGCTGTATATGATTTGTTTGGTTTAATTTGTTTATATGTGTAGCCTATCTTTGGTAAAGAAATCAATCGTATTTGTAGAAGGGGGTGAACATAAATTATTTTAAAGGAAACTAGTTCAAGAATAAGTTAAGTGTATATTATGATGGGCTTTGAAAGAGGGGGGGGGGGATGATGTCAAGTATCGGCTTAATTGATTCATCATATTGAAGGAATCTATTTGTAGTTTAGGGAATTTAGAAGATAGAGCTGTAAGTTTCCATATCAAGAATTCTTGAGAGAAAGAATCATTTTAGTTCACGAAGGATCATAGTCAGCTAAACTAGCTCTAGTGAACCACACTTGTGTAGAGTTTTACAACAGTTCATGCAATAACTAATTCCGATGACTTCGGGAAGGGGTGTGGCCTGTGACTTTGAAAGGAACCATCAATGCAATGGAGGTTGTCTAGATGACGAGCATATCTCCGGATATTAGAATTATAGAGGTTAGAATCGAGTATAACTAAGGAGTGGGATTCTATCATACACAACAAAAATGAAGAGTATCAACGAAAAAATCTCTTGCAAATCTGTCGCTAAAGGCCTAATCCATCGTTGATAACCGTCGGTCAAAAGCTCGTAGGTAATGCTATCAGCGACGGAGTTTAGTGACGGAAACTTTTAGCGACGGATTAGCGAAGGAAACTTTCAGCGACAGAAGCTTTCAGTGACATCAACAACGGAAATTCAGCGATGAAAACTTTCAGCGACGAATAAGAGAGGGAAACTTTCAACGACGATCAACGAGACATTTTTCAGCAATGGATTAGCGACGGACTTTTAGCTAGGAACTTTTAGCGAGGGACCAAAAACTTTCAGCGATGGATTTTCCGCCGTCTCACTAATTTTTTTAAATTTCAAAATAAATAATTTATAATTACATAATTCCTATATTTATTTATACAAAATCTGGCCATTAAATAACAAACAAAAACTATGAACAAATTAAAACTAACTAATTCATACAATTTAAAATATCAAATTCATACAATCTAACTACAGGGAGGTGGGAGGGGGGAAACATATCATGACTGCCGCATAAACATAGCAAAATACTTTGATAAGGCGACTTGTTCGGCTAACTGGGTAATGCATCTGGCCTATTCGGCTTCCAAATCTGCCCTACTCTTTCTTTCGGCCTCCATCTCGACTGATGACGTTCCTCCCACATTCGCGCCTCCTCCTCTACCCTTGCCAACTTCTCTCTCAACTCCGTTACCTGTAAATATTCAATATTCGATAAAATCAGTAATTTGTTCGTAATGAGAAAGTATATAACAATATAACCAACATAACTTCGATGTTGAATCGTATGATATCCTGGTGCTACTGCTACATCTACCTGTCACAGCATAAGAGGATCCTAACCAAAAAGGCGGCCCTTCTTCCGTCCTTCGACACTCTACTCCTAAAGAGATGCCTCATCAGGGTGAGGGGTGTCAGTCCTAGACTATGACTCATCCCTAAGCGATTGAAATCGCTCCTATGGTTCACAAAAATAAAAACGGGTGAGGTTATATATGTAGAAATTTCAACAGCATAACGGCTGTAAATCAAACATATCCAATGCCTATTTTTAACAATTAAAGCATTTTAATTACCAATGATAGTCAAATTCTCAAACTATCTACTTAATCAAACGTCTGCCCAACAATGGCAGCCCAAACTAATAACATCACTATGTTTATTAAAAATATAACTTTAAACTACCAAACACATCTATAAACTGACATAATGGTTTTAGAAAACTTACATGATACCTAGAAGCTTTGGGGTAACTGAACTGAGGAGGATTGGTAGGCGGGTTGAACAAACCTTGATCAACTTCTGATTCGTGCAGTGACTATGCTCAAACACCTCAGTAGCAGTCTGCTCATGACCCATTATATGTGCCTACATTAGACAATTAGGTTAAGTTGTTAGTAAACATAGAGAACGAACTACATATTGGAAAAAAATTATATATTCACCATCCTGTCTTGATGTTGTGCAATACTGATCGATCCCCGGGTGTGCCTAGACGACACCCCCTCAAGCTGTATGTTCTAGTTGACCTTATTGATCTTGGATTTCCTTTTTCAAGGCTCGGTATCTCAAACCTGTTAAAACAGAACACCTATATAAGTCGGTATAAAACACATGATAGTTCATAAAGCTCACAATAGAGATACATATCTGGTAAATCATCTGAATCCAAAACCTCTTTGGCATCCATATAGGGCGATGTAATCTAATCCGTGAGAAGTCCTCACCGTCCCATTACTGAGCACCAGGATAGGTGTTGGTCCCATAAGGGTCTACAAGAAGAGAAACAGTTTGTAGAAGGGGGGTGAATACAAACACAATATTTTCAAATTTAAAATATATATTGATAGAGAAGATCAATACAAATTTTACAAGATTGTTTACGGAAAGATAAGGTAACAAAAACCTATCCAAACAATCTTTGGTTTCACACAAAGCTTTAGCAATTACAAGAAAAGAAGTTGCTAAAAGAAAGATCCTTTACTTAAGCTAGAAGATGCTTGAAATAAGAATAAGGTTAGAGAGAGATGCGCGCTCTCTGCATGGAGAAGAAACACTTCTATTTATACCCAGTGCATTAAATGATCATTTAATGCAATATGGTAGGTTTAGAGTGCGTGTCAAACCTTAAGAGGAAGGCTTGTCCTTTGCTACAGTGAATAGTACAAAATCACTATTTCAAAGCAGACATCCTTACCTAAAGTTGGTGGACAAAGAGTCGACTAATCGGCTCCGTACTGTACTAACTTTTGTAAGGGTATGGGTTTGTCCTTTGTGTGCATAAGGACAAGATAACAACAATCGTGCTAAGCAAGCTTCCTTTGATCGCTGAATGGTGGAATGACCTGAAGGTCTCATCATCATTCGCTGAAGCTAGAACAGTCTTCACACATATATAGACAGGCTTGTAATCACTGAATACCGCTTCAGATCATGTACTCGCCGGTCTCTAATCTTCAGTTTCAGTCTTCGACGTTTGCTGAAGGTTCTTTGGTGTGAGTGTTGTCTTCTTGAAGTATTGCTGTATCTGATAGATTTACAATGCAAGTTCTTCAGCGATCACTGAACATACTCAGTGAAGATCGCTGGAACTGAAAATACAGAAACACAAATGCAACGTGAAAAAGAAAAGGGATTATCATCAAATCACTCAGAGAGAGGATCAACAATCTCCCCCTATTTGATGATAACAAGATAACATAAAGAATGTTATCTTATCAAATAATAGTAAGGAAAAAATTACATATAAAATACATGTCCCTTTTTACTATTTTGGGATCTTTTTCAGTTTGGTCAGTCTCAGCTTGAGWAGTTTTCTTAAGTTATATCTAAGAAAATTACAAGTACGAAAACTGAAACTGAAAGCTTATTCACTGACTTATAGACTGTCAGTGAATGCGAAAAGTAACATTGGAACTCATAGACTTGTGTCCCTATTACTTTTTTTAGGGATCTTTTTCAGTGAAGTACATGGAATACTCATTTTATTAATCAATGGAAATAATGCAAGTATTACAGTACATGTTCAGAATGTAAATACAATCAATGAAAGAAGATATAGTACATGAAGTTACAAGGAAAAGTGGGTTGTTGTTACAAAGAGAATCTTATTCTAGAACACTTAGATCTATGTAATCAGGTACATTTTCACCAAGGTTTCTTCGACGTAGGAATTCCCTTCGTATCTTCAGATCTACGACTTTTCCAGGCATGATATCATCTATCCAGAGATAAACCAAGTGATCCATTGGACATAGATGTAGCTCTGACATTCTCTGAAATCTGACGCTTAGCGAAGCAATGGAGGTAGCCATGAAGATCGATTTGAAAAACAAAGTGTTAGCAAGGGAAAGGATTTCGGTTTATAGCAAGAAGACTAATTCATATTTCCATCCAAGTCCCGAATGGAAAAGCAGTTCGTCTTATCAGTCTTCGAATAGTACCGGAGGATCTGTCAACTCGCCAAGTTCCACCAGCAAAACGGGATCCAGTTTCCGTCGACTGTCCGATCAAGAGGTGCAACAACGAAGAGCTTTGGGTCTATGTTACCGCTGTGATGAAAAATACGCTCTCGGCCATAGGTGTAAAAGGAAAGAGATGAATGTTTTACTGGTTCAAGAAGACTTAACTGATGATGCGGAACCAGAAGTGGAAGAAAGAAGTTTTAATGCAGCTGAAGTTAGTGATAAGGTTGAGGTACATTTAAATTCCGTTGTCGGTTTAACGAATCCTAAAACTATGAAATTGGAAGGAAGAATAGGCGAACAAAAAGTTGTGGTGTTAATCGATAGCGGTGCAACACACAATTTTATATCATATGATTTGGTTAAACGGCAAAATTTAAAAGTGGAAATTACTGGCGAATATACTATTACACTAGGGTCGGGAAATACGGAGAAAGGGGAAGGAATTTGCAGGGGTATTACGTTGTTTTTACCCAATATTGAAATCCGGGAAGATTTTCTTCCGTTGGGTTTGGGTAACAGTGATGTGATTCTCGGAATGCAATGGTTGGAAACACTAGGAGCAACGTATATCAATTGGAAGTTACAGGTAATGAAATTTACTTGCGGGGGCAAATCGGTCATGTTACGGGGTGATCCTTTGTTGGGACGTTCGATGATTTCGTTAAAGGCCATGGGAAAGGTAATCAATCATGAGGGGCAAGGTATTTTGGTGGAATTGGGCGCATGTTCGGTTATGTCAGGAGAAATTACAGAATCAAACGTGTTGTTGGATCCTTTACTAAAAGAATTTGATTCAGTGTTTAACATGCCACAAGGATTGCCACCCGAAAGAGGTAGAGAGCATAATATCGTTTTAAAGGAAGGTAGAGATACGATCAATGTTCGGCCATACCGTTATCTGCATTACCAAAAAGACGAGATCGAGAAATTGGTGAAAGAGATGCTCGAGGCAGGGGTCATTCAACCAAGTATGAGTCCTTTTTCCAGTCCGGTATTATTGGTTA